CCTCAAACATTCCCTAATGATAACAACATTGCAAGCTCCTTCCAAGACATGTAGTAAATCAACTACTTAGATCAGGAAATCGTCATAAAATGTCTTGGACCATTTATTTGATTTCTCCCTCTTACTCCATCTACAGAGCTACTGGCTTGAGTCGGCCTTTGGTTTCAGCAGTGAATGTAATACAGTGCTCTTAGTAACAGCCATCTGGTCTCAGGAAGCTCTGGTGGAGCTGCGTGTTTGGCATTGGCCTGCCAACTGAAAGGCCAACAGTTCAAACCCACCAGCTGCTCCTTGGGAGAATATGAGGCTGTCTGTTCTAGCAAAGACTTACAGTCTGGGAAATCCAACTATGTGTTGGAATCTCGATGGCAGTGGGATTGTTTTTGGTGCGTTTGTCCCAGGAAAAGCATTCGTCTCCTTGCTGTATTTTTGGAAACTCAAAGCTCCCGGCCAAGCTGCAGGAGAAAGTGACTATTGTTTAATAAAGAGTATAACTTTGAAAACCCTGAGACCATTCTACTCTGTCCAAAAGGGAATAGATGTGATGGCAAAAAAGAAAAAGAAGAAAGAAATTCCAAGAAAAAAGCCATGTATGTTCAAGATACATCAGAAATTTTCCCAAGAATTGACCACCATGGCCTTTCCTCTCGTAGGACTTTACTTTCATTTAACTTGTAAAATCATGTGTGTGAAAAGGGTGGCTTCCTATAGGGAAAATGCCGTGGTTCTCAGTCTCCCAATTTTTCTCTCTCAAGATCCACTTTCTCACAATACATAGATCAATTGTGTAAAGCACATCTATACATTTGTTGCCCTCATTATTCTCAAAATTCGCTTTCCTCTTGAGTTCCCGGAATCAGCTCATTTTCCTCCCCCCACCCCATGAGCCCCAATAAATTGATTTAAAAAAAATTGGGGGAGAGGCTTATCAAAACTGCATTGAATAAAAGAAAAGATTTTTTTTAAAAAGATCCACTTTCTCTTTGGAGAAGAAACTTTGGGGGTCGGGAGGTTTGGGTCTTTATTTAGCAGTCTGTCTTCAGCATTGAGACATCACTCTTCCTAAATAATCCTTAGTAACGTTGAGATAGGATTGAAATTCAAAATAGAATCTACCAAACAACAGAGTATAACCAAAGGGAAATAAGCTGAAAATAATATGAAAAAGAATGATCTGGTTTAGAAGAGAGGATTTTTTTTTTATTTTTAACTGATGTCCACTACCTTATTGATGATGCCCTACTTAACTTTAATTCACACACTTTAGACAAATAACCAAAACAGATTAGATATAACTCCCTGATACACTTTTCAGTACAGTTAGAGTTCTTTGTCTCACCTCCCAAGATCCACTTCTTGAGTACCGCCTTTGCACCCACACTAAGATGGGGTCGTTGCATCTAGATGACACAAATGGATGGTCCTAGGTCATTAGTCTAGGGGCTGATCATTTGAATCTTCCCAGTAGCATGGCAGAAGAAAGGGCTGTCAATCTACTCCCATAAAGATCAAGCCAAGAAAGCATGACCTCAATAAGTGGACTTGCCATGAGTTAGGGTAATGAATTTGTTTGTTTGTTTTACACCTTTGGAGGGGAAAAAAGAAATTTAGAAAGAAATGAGCTAGACGTCATGCAGTCTATTCAGATTTTTAAGGCAACTTGGTAAAACCGAAACAGCCTCTTCCAAAGACAAAGCCCTCATCGATGCACAATAAGCCTCAACACCACTGGGTCAGTGAGAGGTGTCCAAGCACAGTCACTGTCCAGGGAACTCTCCACACCTTTCGTGACTGGTCTTGTGGTTCTAATTGTCCACCAGTCATACTCCCTGGTGCCTGCTTCATCAGTAATATTAATAAAGGGTGCAAATTGGCCTGTTTATCTTGCAAGAAACCCTTATGATTTCTTCTCTGCTTTTCCTGGGGAGCTCCATGAATACCTTTGAAGGATACAATTGAAACTAATTAGGAATTAAATCTGTGAGTTTTGTCTGACACTGAATGTATGCAAAAAGAAGCTAGGATCCAGAACAGTGTCACTATTCCTCATCTCTGTGGGAGTTTCTCTGACTTCAGCATTAGATGTAGTACCTCCTGAGCATGCTTTTGACTCCAGGATATCTGGTAACAAACTTGGGGAGATTGGTGAGTAACAGTGCCCTGATGGTATTGTTTGAGGTTCCAAAAGATGTAGCAGGACCCACCGAGTCCCTGCATTATCCAGAGGGCATGCTGCTGTTGGTGCCAGGTGGCTAGAAGAAGTAGTTCATACTATGTACAGCATAACCCAAAGCCAGCTCTCCCAATTCTTGTGTCTATGTTGATCACCTCTCGGCAGGCCTAGAAGACACAGGAAACAAGAATTCTAAATAGTATAGAGAAACAGGAACGGGGGTGGGTGGTGGGTGGGTGGGGGGCCTAGATAGATCACACGGAAATATCTCTTTGCCCACAATGAGTTAGAGGAGACAAAGCAACCAGTTAGGAGTTTAATGTAGTCCTCAACATGAAAGATTATGTAATCCTCAATTGGGGCAGTTAGAGAAGGCATGGAGTTAATTAGAGTGGCTTAACTGATATTATTAAGCGAAAATCAACAGAAGTTGGTGATTGATTTGCTATGGGGTGTGACTGATGAGGCATGCAGAACAAGAAGGTCCCATCTAGGATAAGACTTCTGATGAGAGATGCCTTCCTCTCCTGCACAGGATCCTGACAAGGCACAGGTGTTCTTCCCAGATTCCGAAATAATCTACGTACCTGTGCTATTCCCAGAGCTGGGTCTTCTTTGCTTCTGTATAAAGAAGAACTTGCCCCATGGAATGGGATCCATTCGGTCTTGGGTCAGGTGGCATTTAAGCATCTTGGTGTACTAACTTGGCAGCCACCTCACTCTCAACTCTGGGTACTTATGTATTCTACTATCCCACCTCAAACAACTGGCACCTAGACTCTGATTTTGCACAAGTGGAATTCTAAAATATTTAAGGCTCAAATACTCCCCTTTTTGTTTTTGTTTGGGTTTTTTTGCCAACCCTGGAGCCCTACTGAGGACATGACATGCACAGGGCCACATTTGACCCTGCCTTGCTACAGAAAAAGAGAAGGAAACTCCAACTCCACTTCTGCCCAAGGATGATTCCTGAGGCAGAGGTCAGACATACCTCCACCCCCCAACTTCCTTTACCCTTGTGACATCACCCAGACCTCCCACAGTCGTCGGCTTCTGTGCTGCATTTGAGAATCCCTTACAGTGGATTCAGACAAAACTGACAATTATGACGTTGATGAGGGACACTAACAAGTCAAGATTATACACACACACACACACACACACACACACACACACACACACACACACACACACACGATATTATCCTTTTATCCACAGCATCTCTTCTCAGCCACACTGACAGACACAGCTCCTTTTCTGGCTTTCCATCTATCACTCTCGCAATCCCTTGGCCTCTGCTCTACTGGGCCCAGTGTTGCAAAGTTCCTTTAACAGTGCCATATGCCCCACAGGACCTCTCACTCTACAAGCCAACCTCCCATCTGAAGACACTCACCTTTGCTCACACAGTAGTCTAGGAATCCCACCACTCTGTCTCATGATCTCAGTGTAGTCCCATTGCTCTCTCCCATGGCTCTCTTGCTACTGTGGCCTCCAGTGCCTCTGCTGCTTCCACAACTTCCAACAGGGATCTCATAGATGCCTACGTGCGCTGCTGGTAGCTCTTTTTTCTTAAGCGTAGTAGGAGTCCCCTCTTGCTTCTGAGATGACTCCCTGTTGTTATGCCCAGCAGCCTGGCATAACTGACCAGTCTCTGAGTGAGAGTCCTCCACACCTGGTTGAGGTGATAGCTAAAGAATCACAACAAATCATTTCACTTCAGCGCATGTCCCTAGTTGTTATTGTTGGTCGACGCTGTCTAGTTGTTTCTAACTCACAGCTAACCTCTCTGTGTGCATTCAATGGAAGCAAGCACTGCCAGCCTGTACCACGCTCACCACTGTGATGCCTGTTGTAGCCACCATGTCAATCATCTCATGGAGGATATTCTTCCTTTTCACAACATTCCACTGTACCAAACATGATGTCCGTTTCCACGGGCTAGAAAGGTTACCTAATTACAATCTTCCTGGACTGGGATCTGCACACCTTAATTCCCATTGGCTGCCAGGGAGCTTTTCATCTCGATTTTTCTCTGGTTCTTGGAGATGTTCTCTCTAGAGCCCATCGTTGGCTCTTGCTGTTGCTAATCAACTGTGTACCGTTGCTTACGTTCCATCAAAGTTCCCTGCTGCCATTTTGCCTGCATCTTTGCTTTCCATCTTGTAACCTTCTTAATTGTGCCTCTTCCCGTATCTTCCCACTGTGAGGGTTCCTGCTGTCTGTGCTGGAGGGCCATTCCCTATAGTTGGAGATGACCCGCCTTCCCCAACACCTTGGTGAGTCTTCTGAAGCTCCCCCAAAGAATCGACCATTGAAAATTCATGCTTCGATTTCTATTTAGTTCATGCCCTGGCTGATAGTTACATAATTTCATGTCAACTTGAACCTATATTAAAAATGTTAGGGTGCTATTCACCCTGTCAATCCAGTCGCAGACTGATGGTGCCTTCTTGTGGACATGGCTTTCTCAGAAGGAGCCCTAGGAACCTCCCCTTCCCTCTTTGTCTTCACCCTCCTGCTGGCAGACCCTGATTGCTGCCAGAGCCCCAGGATTCACAGGAGGCCTGTGATCCTCCTGCATTCTGCATCACTGCATGTGGTTGTGTGAGTCTACAGCAGGACTTAACGGACTACTACCAGACTTAAGGACTGGAGTTGGACTGGGCCGGGATGTTTTCTTGGCATATAATTACTTCTTGATAGAAAGCTCTTTCTTACACATGTATGAGTGTCACTGGAATTGTTTCTCTAGTCAGCCTGGCCTGAAACAACTTCTGAAATTTACATTTTAGAAGCTCAGATTTCTTTTAAAAATATGCGTTAAATCCTTACCTGGCAAGGGACATACCATGATCATGAAGGTGGTTTTCCAAGGGAGAAGCCTTATCCACTGCACTCTGAATATGCGGATGCTGTGACTTCCCCCAAGGTGGAAAACTCAAAGACGTAATTAGTGCCTGTGGGAAACTACATTCAAGCCCTCTCCTGGAAGACGAGGAAGAGGAAGAAGAAGAAGAAGAAGAAAAATCTGAGTTAAATAGAAAAAGCCAAATAGTGATTTTGAAAGTTTATTAAATGTTGCTGCTAGGAAATTCAGCCATTTTGATTGCTCATGTTGCCTGTTAAGAGTACTGAACTATTTTTAAGACATCTGGGAAAAATTATATCGAAAATCTCAAGTTCTTCCAAACTTTCATGAGGTATATATCTTATCTTTTTAAGAAATTAAATTTAAGGATATTAAAATTAGACCAGAGTTGCTCAAAGTTAGCAATAAAATGGGGGGGGGGGCGGGCGCTTTAAAAAACAAACAAACAAAAAACATCCCATTGATGCCTGAATCCTACCATGAGGAGGGATTCTGATTAGTTACTCTGGAGTGCATCCTGGGCATGTACTTTATGCCTAGAGGTTTGTTAAAGCTCCTCAGAAAAGTCTAATGTGCAGCCACTGTGAAGAATCATTTCATTAGATTAATGACTTTTAAAGTACTTCTGAAGACATTAAATATTGTATATGTGTATCTGAAACACAGACCAAAGAAAATCTTATATGCCAACCTAAGAGCCTAAGAGCCAACCACCTGCAATACTTAGTTGATTACTTGTTAGATGCTATTAATCAATTCAACTCAGAGTGAAAATACGTGACCGAGTACTACTGCCACGTAGGATTTCCTTCTAATCCTTTTCTCCCACAGAGCTGATGGGTTTGTTTGAAACTTTAAACCACCAACCTTTTCCTTAGCAGCCAAGTGCTTCACCATTGTACCACTAGGGCTTCTTGGTTGGTTGCTGAAACTCATTGCCATTGAGTTGATTCTGAATCACAGCAAGCCTACAGGACGGAGTAGAGATCCCTTACAAGGCTTCTATGCCTGTGAATCTTTAAGGAAGCAGACGGCCAAGTATTTCTCCCGCCAAACAGATAGGAGGTTCAATTGGCTGCCAAGCACCTAAAAGTATGCCATCAGCCAGCCTTTGGTTGCTATCTAGACAAGGAAAATAAAATAAAATAAGTAATATCTACTATGTAAGAGGACAAATATGTCTTAGAAGAAGTACAGCCAAAATGCTCCTTAAAAGGAGACATGGAGAGACTTCATCTCATGTGCTTTGGACATATTATTAAAGTGAACCAGATTCTGAAGAGAGATATCATGCTTGGTACAATAAAGGGTCAGTTTAAAAAAAAGACTATCAGTGATGGACACAGTGACTTCGACAGAGGATCAAACAGAAAAGATGATAAGGATAGCACTGGAAGGGGAAGTGTTTCATTCTGTTGTACATTCAACTGCTACTTTATGGAACAAGCCAACCGGCACTTAACAGGAATGATAGTCACACTAGCTTGTCTAATGATTTCAAGAACTCTTTGCTGCTTTATTATCCAAGTATCATTATTTATCCCCATTTATTAAAAGGCTGCGAAGATTCAGACAGGTTGAAGCACTTGCATGCGTTAGAGTTACGTGATCGATGTTGTCATTCAGCTCAGCCAGTGAAGGTTGCTTTCTCATTCCACCTCTCTTTGTCAGATCTACAGGAGAGAAGAGCCCTTGAAGAGCTAACCAGGTGCAGGTTGTCATAGATCACTTAAAGGGCCATACAAATTCATTTTACTCAGCTTAGTGCCAGTTAGACTCAGGAGAAAGAATGCATGGGAAACAGATTCTCAAGACACCAATGCATATAAGCCAATGTCTGATTTAAATATGGTTACATAGGCCAGAGGATTTGTGTTGGTTTTTCCTTCCCTGTAATGAATTGTAACAGGTGGTCCAATTAGTGTCAAAGCTTTGTTTAGCCAACTCACCTTTCAGCAGATACTGGCCTTAATGATCAGAAAGTTGGATGTGTACACCTCCAGGGCAGGTCAAAGACTGGCGTGAAGTCATGCCTGCCCATGTGGCATATCACGATCTTTCCTCTTGGGGACAGTGCTGGGCCACAAATCCCAGGGCTTTGCTGATCCTTTCTGTTGCCTTGTGCCTTTGTGTCACACACTTTTCTCCCCCGTTATGCTAAATCATTGTTTAGGCCACGGGTTATTTCACCTCTGCCCAGCCTTGGTTAGATTTCTGGGAGTTGCTCTTCCTGCTTTGTCTAATGGGACATCCTGTTCCTTGAGTGAGTGTTGCTCACATTGTGCTGCAGGCCATATCCGCACCACCATCCCTTGAGGTGCTTGTTAAAAAAAGTAGCGTGCTAGTCTCCCCACCAGAAATACCAAATCAGAGCCCCTGATTTCAGGGACTACGAACTTCCATTTTTAAGGAGCGAATCCAGGTAGTATTCCTGCAGATCATACAGTGGCTTCTGCAGGTAGCTCAGTTTACCTAACATGTTTAGGCCATATGGGTTTCACTTGGGTTCAAGTCCATATGAATTTCCATATGCTGCAGCTATTTTAAACTGCCAACTATTTCCTAAGTATAATAGAGAGTTTGTAGCTTGAGTTAAACATTAAGAAGAATTATAAAATTTGGCAAATAAAGTTTGAGCAATGGACAAAGGAAATCCACATTTTTCAAGTAAATAAAGCAGCTCACTTAATAACACAATCAAATGAGATATTGTAATATATTACTATGTTTTGAAAATAAAGGTCCAAATAAAAGAGAAATAGAAGGAAAACTTAAGCTGTATCTATAACACCAAAATAAGAGATAAAACATCATCTAGTACTCTTAGTGGGTTCAACATCTGGGTTATTTCTTAGTGTGACTGATTTGACTCTCTCTGATGTTCAATATAGCTGCAAAAACATGAAGAACCCCAAAATGATCACCTTTGAGGCTTCAAAGAGGCAAGAGTAGGACTAGATTTATCTAAGGAAAGGGACACTAGAAGGGACACATGGGGAGAAAGAGACACTCTCTTGATGGTTTGCCTAGTGTTGTCTCAGTGGCCCGAAATGACAAAATGAGCAAAAGTGATATCGGTGTGTGTGTGTGTGTGTGTGGGTGTGTGAATGTGTGACAGACTGATTTACTTAGTCCCTAAATTTCTGTGGAGGATGAGAGTGGGAATAGGAAGATGGCCATCTGAGGATCTGGGCACATCAAGAGATATTTATTGTCTTGGTCAAGAAAGAATTGAGTTTTTCATGAACCGTAGCCTCAAATTGCTAAAGTAGATGTCTGCTCACTGGATTTTTACCTTTCCCTGGAGAGCAGTGCAGAAGGAAGGGCTTTACATTACAGCAAAGCTGGCCCTCGCTCACAGGAAGGGTAGTGAGAGGCTGTTAAGAAGGCCACGTGTTTCTATGTCTTTCCAGAGGTCTTTAGAAATGGATCAGGACAGGAATTCTGTGAAGACGAACACACCATTGTTTAATGTGTGTCTCTCTATCTCCGTCTGCCTCCTCTCCAGGTGGCAGAAGCAGGGATGCCCCAGAGATCCCTCTATCTCCAGCATTACTTTATTCTCAACTCTCCAGGTTGACAGGAGAATTCTCACTAGCAGAGTTCCGCCGACAAGTCAACATTATTTGTGTGACTCTACCAAGTGTTATGGACTAGTCATTTTACTGAAAAATAGCAGACAACGCGTGCCTAAAATAATATAAAAGAAGTTATTTTCTTAGTCCTCTGTTTTTGCTCTTAACTTGAATTACAGGGAATTTAAAACAAAACCGAAAAGTTCATTTCAGACCCCGAGTCGCGCAATTTCAGGTACTCCAGGGGCCCCTGTTGTTGACATATATTAAAGTTGGATAAGCTCTAGTAAGAAACACATCAAGATGATAAGATTCTTTAAAAAATAAAAACTCATAGGAGGAAAAAAATTTGAGTGACTCTTTGTATTTTGCTGTATACATTAGTTTTCCCATCTTGATTGCCCCGTAAGTTATTTGACTCTTAGAGTGTCTTTAGCTCACTTTTAAGGGGGTTTAAAAAATATTTCTGCCTCAGTTTCCTAGATAAAGCCAGAAAAGAATGAGGGATGAAAAAAATTGTCATAATGAGGATGGGCCAGTTAACTCTAGAATCAACTCTTTCCCTGTCCAGCCCTCATCGAATACAATTGCATCTTTAATAATTGTGAGGTCTCCTTTCCTAAGACAGACACATCAACCATCAGCTTGGCAAGTTTGGTGCTACTCAGTTATGACCTCCACTGCCTCTCAAGTTGACCAGGAATCCCAGATGGACTGGGATGCCAATATTTTGGAATGAGAAGAAATTGTGTTGTATCCTATACATTGTTTCTACGTTTCCATGAGACCTCATTAGAAATTCAAGATAAACTCCATCTTGTTTGGGCTATTTTGGATCTCAGGGTTGTCCATTATTTTGATTCGGGGACATGATAGGCATATATTAGGAGTCACTGTCCCAGACCTCAGAGGCAGGTGTCTGGATACAGGAATTGGTTGTGTTCTCATTCACAGGAACATTGCTCTTGTCAGTATGCCAGGTGACACAGGATCACCTCATCCGCATGTCTGTCCGTCTTCCCTGGCCTGCGTCAACAGCCCAGGTGAACAACTCTGACATGGCCCCTGAATTTCAAGACTCATCTGTAACTGAAGAATGTTATTAAGAGCCTAATGGTCTCATGGTGCTTCGAGATGACAGAAAGCAGCGAGTGCTTTCATTTAGTTTTAGAAATATTAGGTCCGAAGGACATTAAACATTAATTTCTGTTGGGAATTAATGTTGGCTTAATTAAAAACTATCATGTTTAACAATGTCCTGTTAGTTTGGGTTTTTTCATTTGTAGCCCTTTTAGAAAAAAAAATTCAAATAAAAGCATATCTTACTTCCACCTGTTCAACTGCCTCCTTTTCCATGCAAAATGGGTGGTGCCTGGTGACTATTAACTGAACGTTTTGGTGAAGGATCCAATAAAAAGATATTGATCAAAAGGAGGAAACCTGTAGGCGAGAAGCTGAAATTCTTATGAAAGCCACACTTCCTGAATGCATAGAGATGAAAGAAACTCCCAGATCGATGGCTTGGAAACATCTTTTCAACCTTT